GGTTTATTGTTGCTTAATATAATTGTTATTTTCAACTATTCTTTTTTAATTATTCTTTTTTACTTGTTTCAGGGATTTCAAATCATTTTATATAATAGGCAATGGAAGTCCGAACTAGTGAAATTTATCACGAAACATTGTCAATCACCTTCAAACAAAAGTATCGTCTCCTTACGAATACACATCATCAAACCGTGAAACTTTTGCTGTCGCGAATTTGTGAAATGAGTTGGTAGAACTGAGGCAAAAAGTAAGTCGGTCAAACCACATGAGTTATTGGAATTATGTCAATGAGTACACGTCTCATATTTGATTTCGTGGACGAATTCATAAAATGAAGAATCATACAACCATTGAAACATGTTCTGAAATTCCGAATGCTTTTGAAAGTCTAGAAATAGCAGAGTGTGGTATTTAAAGTAGCAATTTTCCACTCTTTCTCAGGAAATTTCTCACTAGTTTATAATCAAGAAATTATTGATGTAGGTATGACTAAAACTGAAAGTGGAGATTCAGTTCACTGATTCATATAATTTAAAACGATTTCACAGCTGATCCTGAGAAGAGTTGTACCTCGAAAACCATAATGAGGATGCAACAGAATTATTAGACCAGGAGTGAAACCTTAAAAAATGGTAAAAAGTGAAAAAATAATAGTACGATGAAACCCATTAGAAAAAAAGGGACATACAATGAACATGAAAGGAAAAGTAAATTACGGGCGATATGAGTTCGGGAAGTGGGAGGGGGTGGGTTTTTGAAAGTAAAAAATGGTTTATCTCGATTNCCAATGTTTTTCATAAGAAAGATGCAAGTAAAGAAGATATAAAAAATGGATTACAAATGATAAAATCTATTTATAAATGTGAAAATGGATAAATAACTATGAATAAATTAGATTTCAAAAATATCAATTGGCAAAAATTAAATCAACTTTCATTTTGGCAAACCTCCTACCCACAGAAGGAGCAGCAGAACAACATTGTTACAGGGCATATTATCAGCTTCAAACTTGGTTGGGTAACGAACTGACAGCAACAATTATAGCTGGAAGCAACGTAAACGTGGCATTATGCCCAAATTTACAGAAAAGGAAATAATTCTGGAAGTATTGCTTAAAACTATTTGCTGCAGCTTTGAAACTGGATATAACAGTTTAAAATGTGGCTGTCGAAAACATGGTTTAAAATGAATATCACTGGAGTTTTTTCCCAACACCAAATCGTTATTTTTACACCTCGACACGTGTTTCGATCACCAAGTGATCGAGGTGTAAAAATAACGATTTGGTATTGGGAAAAAACTCCATGAATATTCATTACTACACCAAAGGTTCCAAACAGTACATCATAAGTATGGTTTAAAATGCACAAATTTATGCTCAACTTGTCATGGTTCTGAAAATTGCTCCAATATGGAAGAAAAAACCTACGAGGAAGTTAATGATTCAGATGAAATTGTGGATGAAGAAGAAATGCAGACTGAAAATGATATTGGAGGCGAAGAAGGTGATGGTCTTGAAGATTTTGAAGATCAACTAGAATTGGAAAGGTTTGTCGAATCTAACGATGAAGAAATGCCATCAAGGAGACAAAAACTAATCTGTTTAAAAAAAATCTACGTACGACAACCCTCAGAAGTCGAAACTTGAGTGAGCTAAGAATTAACGAGGTCTTACCGTTTAACGTGTGATTCCTAACACGGGTTGGACGATAGCAAGTGAAGATCGATCGTTCAGACTAGGGCTTGAACCACCGACCAACACGGCAGTCAATTCGAGTGAGTGAACAAATCACCCACGCCGAACCGCTTGGCTACCGACCGATGGATAAGTAATTAAAATTGAAGATATTTATAAATGTTTTTCAAAATATTATAATGAATAATGTCATCAGAAATAGTACGATTTACTTGATATTTATATTTTATGAGATTTTCTATGACATGAATGTAATTATGATTTAATAAATAAACTTTTTAACTGGATAAAATTACGGTAATCACATTTTTTTGATAAAATTGTACATGATGATTTTAAAAAATCGAATTCAAGTTTGTCTCGATTTTTTGCATTTTATGAGAACATTTACTATAGTAATGTATATTTTTTCACACCATCAGAAAGTAGAGATTTTAGCGAACAAAAACCACACCGACTTTTTGAAAGAGCACCGTGGGGTAAGTGATCATTAGGTCCAAGAATAATGTGTCCTGAGCAATCGCAGTGAGCCAAGAATGACAGCCTTCTGCATCTGTGCGAATAAGATTTCTGCCTTAGTGCGGCAAGCCGGTATGATTTTAAGATTCGCGAGTAGAAAGGGCATCATTCAACCAAAGACTCCAATAATCAGAACAACCATCTTGACGGAGTGATCTGGATACAGTCTGCGGAGTTCGAAAAGAAAATCTCGATATATTATTCGTTTTTCCTCCTCTTTTCTGACGAAATTTGTATCGCCAGGAGCTGAAAACTCCACGACAAATATCGTTTTGCTCTGGTGGTCGAGAAGGACTACATCAGGCTTATTAGCTTGTATGAGCCTGAGATGCAGCAACTTTGTTCTTCCCCGACAGTTCCGATGACCAGATCTGTCGAAGTTTGTGCTGATACTTGCCGCGGAGAGAGTTTTTCACTGCTGTTACCTCTTGTGAGTGGCGTTGTTTTACCCCGAGGTAAGTATACGTCTTTCCGGCATCCAGATGGTGTAGGATGCTTGCACATTTGTCTATCCCGAATTTCATACCGATAGCATGCGTGTACTCTTCCACCACCTTCAAGGACTAATGGAGATCCTTCTCTTCAGAGCCATAAAGTTTAAGATCATCTATATAAAATAAATGGGTGACCTTATTATTATTATTTTTAAATGACAATCTATATTTAATAAATCCATAAAGTCTATATTCATGCCCGGTTCACTTTATTTGTTTTTTTCTCTCCTTTTTTGCTCCATTTCTCACTTTTCTCTTCGATTTCCATTCACCTAACTTAATCTAGTATTGTAATGCGGTGCTATTGTGATCGTTAGTCTATAAATACGATATTTATTGTACAAAATTTTTAGAACATAATTTTTACAACAGATCGAATTCTTAATGAATAAAAACATTCATGATAGTTATTCAGTCATAATTTACCAGCTTGGACATATTATAATTATTAAAATTCGAAATTAACCTTCTTCAACTTTATTCCTCAGGTTGGTATAGTTGGCCGAACTGGCGCAGGTAAATCATCTTTGATTGTAGCCCTCTTTCGGTTAGCACCCACAGAGGGTTCAATTTTTATCGACGAGGTGGATACAAAAAAAATAGGTCTTTCAGATTTGCGAAAAAAGATTTCTATCATCCCACAAGATCCAGTATTATTCTCGGCTCCTTTGAGGTACAACCTAGATCCCTTCGATGAATTTGAAGATACTGAACTCTGGAAAGTTTTGGAACAGGTACTAACAAAACTAACTTATTTCTCTTTTTGAACTTTCTTAGTGGTAGTTATTCAACCAGGTATTTTTCGTTCAATATCTGAATCACACACCAGTTATGAAACTGAATAAATTTTAATTCAGGTGGAACTCAAAGACGTAGTTGATTCTTTGGATTTTATGGTAACTGAAGGAGGTAATAATTTCAGTTTGGGGCAAAAACAACTCATATGCCTAGCGAGAGCCATTCTGAGAAATAACAAGATTCTGGTATTAGATGAAGCAACTGCAAACGTCGATCAAAGGTAAGGAGAGACTAGTAGGCTTCTGCTCTCTAAGTAAGCTAAGTATTTTTTATCTAAATTTGTTTTTAATCGAAATTATTTGTAACATTGGATACTGTAACCAATTCACAAAAAACTCAAATGTATGACCCCAATTTATATATATTTTTATGTTTTGATTATTCATATCTCCATACTCTTCATCCGGTCCTCGTTGATGAGACTAACTTGTTTCGCTTGATCTTGTCGAATGACAGCATCAAGTAAGACGTTAAATTAAGGTCATTAACTAGGGTCGATGCAAGAATTGTCCTTTGGGATATAACAGCGTCGAGGATACCTTGTCAAACACCACATACAAATACCTTTCTCAAAGAAAGCTTTCATAATCTTGATGATATACCTGATGAGTCTGATACAAAAAAAGGATTTGGAAAAGCTGAATACACTTATTTGAATTAATGAATCGAAGAGGTTTTGTATTAAAGTGTATAATATATTAAAATTCTTGCAAAGCGCTTTCGACTTTTGTCATCATCAGTGCTCACCTGAAAGTAAGTGATCTAGTTGAAAAGGGAATTTAGTGAAATTGAAGTTGTAAAATTTTAAGGTTAAAAAATTTGGAAAATTGTTTGAGATTACTTACTTGTCAGGCAACAGGAAGTATCATGATAAGTGAATTGTACATTGTAATATTTAAAATTATATAAAACAAAATAGGCTTATAGCCAAAAAATACATTTTTTGGATTCAGGCCATGTGGTTCAGTCAAAGTATTTTATGAAGAAGGACAACTTGAGACAGAATGTGTCAAGTGTCATGTTAAAATAATGGTACCAACTTGAGGAGNACTCCTCAAGTTGGTACCATTATTTTAACATGACACTTGACACATTCTGTCTCAAGTTGTCCTTCTTCATAAGATACTTTGACTGAACCACATGGCCTGAATCCAAAAATGTATTTTCTTGGCTATAAGCCTATTTTGTTTTATATAATTTAAATATTACAATGTACAATTCACTTATCTTGATACTTCCTGTTGCCTGACAAGTAAGTAATCTCAAACAATTTTTCCAAATTTCTTAACCTTAAAAAAAATTTTACAACTTCAATTTCACTAAATTCCCTTTTCAACTAGATCACTTACTTTCAGGTGAGCACTGATGATGACAAAAGTCGAAAGCGCTTTGCAAGAATTTTAATATATTATACACTTCAATACAAAACCTCTTCGATTCATTGATACAAAAAGTTTTAGAACGGCCTAATACGTTAGATTTGTTGAAAAATCTGTTTTCCGTTAACCCAGCTTTCGCCTCATAACAAATGACAACTCTCAAAAGCCCAAACTTGTGAGAGCTAAGGATTAACGAGGTCTTGCCTTCCAACGTATGATTCCAAGTATGGACAGGCAGTGAAATTTGTTCAACCGACCGTAGGGCTGGAATCACTGTTTGATATAGCAGTCGATTGAATGAGTAAAATGAACCACTCGGTAGCCCGATCGGCTACCGTCCCACCGATATATCCAAATATCAAAAACCACTGCCAACGGCTCCCTTTGTTTCTTAAATGAGCCAACTCTCTAACATGTAACAGGATCTAGAAGATTGCCAGTTAATCTCTGACGAGATTATTCAATATTCCTGAGAGTACAAGAATTTTCAATACTTTCAATGTTAACAGCACTCTTCATGATCTCGGAAATACCCGATAGTTAGACAATTGATGTATAATCCTTCGAAAGGTCTCTGATGACAGAGGACATATTCTCGACTATATGACACTTTGTAAATACTCTCTTCACTCATAAAATAATTAATTTATAAAACACGTTCACACCACTCGCTGTCACCAAGTAAAATACACGCATTTTTTTTAGGGTATCACCCAATTTTAGTTCACAATCCTCTGAATTGGCTCAATATACGAAACTCATTTTTCCGATGACATCACATGAAAGATTTTTCAATATTCTTAGATTTCTGATTGACCTACGAGTGTGAGTCACATACTTCGTTGGTAGGAAAGCTATATTTTCGATGTGAAACATCTATAGCAGCATGAAAAAGCGATTGCTGGCGTGGCGACTCATGTCATGGAGACGGGTAGCCATGAGCAAGAGACTATGCGAGTCACTTTCCACTAGTTCGGCGTTACGCCATCTCTCTCGCCACACTGACCTCGAATACCTATAGTGTCTGCAGTTATGTGTACCGCAGTACACATAACCTGTTTTAATTAAATATTTTTTGTTTAAATAACTGAAAATAAAATATGTCTGACAGTGATAATTCAAAAAGGAAAAGTGGGCAGCCTCCTGCAAAGATAGCAAAATCACACTACGACACACTATCAAATCAACAGTAAGTTAATTACATTTTTATTTTTTATAATTAACTAGCGACTGCTCCGGCTCCGCACGAGTAAAATGCTGATACTAAATATACTACAGAATGTCTTTTATTTCTGACCGGGATATTATAAGCTTATATCGTCATAGTTACGCTATCAATAGAGGGTCATAACTCCCTTGGGACATTATAAATTTTATAATTCCCTCTACCTTTCACAAGTAAAAATAAATAGAAATGAAAACTGAACCATATTTTATTTATTCACGTCATTACAAATAATAAATGTACAATTTTGAAATGTTCCCTGAAAATTACTTCCGCCACTGGAAACAATTTCTTCTTTTGTATGGCTGGAGCTTCTGTTCACTACAGTCGAGGTACCTGCCTCTTCTGATGACAAAGTAGACAACATACGCGCCGTTTTATTTCTCAATTCGATGCTATCCTCCAAATACCCCTCCGCCACCGTGGAACTTTTCCAACCTCCGTGTCTTTTTAAGTTAGTCATAGTTGCTCCTGCATTGGCTAGAGCAGTAGCAGAAGTGCGACGAAGGCAATGTCCCGTATAGGAAGATGAGTTTGGCAATCCTAAATACATTGCGATTTTGCTGGGGATTTTCCCAAACATGTTNAGTGTCTTTCGTCGCGACCTTGTCAGTACGGTCGAAAGTTTCTTCAATCAACCTTGAGTTTGTCAAAAGTTCACTAAAAGTTTTTACTTTATCACGTGGAACTTTCTCTCTAATTCTACAATTCAATAACCCATAAACCATATCCAATTGAACCTCTTCTGTAAGAGTTCCAGAAGGAAGCTGTGCTGGTATTGAACGCAGTTTACAAATAAAAATGTCTGTTGGAGTATTGAGGTCTTGCTCGGTGGTGAATAGTTCAACTGGTTACCAAAAATGAAAAAACATCACATATGCACGGTGTCACCAACAGGAGCTAACCGCACATTTGTGATTTCAATTAGAAGACCCAGCATTCCCAGGCATCATCTAACATCACCACGTAGGCAGCTATAGCTACCTGCGTGACTTCCGGGACCAGGATATAAATACATAGATATAGATTATTATCGAGTGTGTATGATATATATCAAAAGGGAGAAATTCGTGGACAGAACACTCAAGAAATATGGAGGCAAACCGCGGACACGTGTTTCTGGCTATTGGCCTCATCAGCGCGGTGCTGATGAGGCCAATGATCCAGCTCATCAATTCAGCAAAGTTATGTATTTACTTACTTATTCCGTAATTATCACTTCGGACACAAACTTGAATGTTTTTCTCGTCGCCAATTTGTGGTAACCCACTGTCTTGTATAGCACTGAAACACGGTTCACACTTTCATTTATATAAATATTCTTATATGACTGACAGGAATCAGGTACATTATGTATGTTATATTCACTCTTTTGAATATGACTTTTTGAAAAACACTTCATTTTCAATGACAGACTTTCTTTGAATAACAACAAAAAATATCGTTACAAAAACTACAATGAAAAATGAAACAGAATCTAAGTTGATACTAAACGAATTCTAAATCAGTTCTGACCATGATTTGACCTCGCAGGGTCCATTTATACTGTGTAGACAGCGGTGTCAGCAGGAGACGATGGAAAATAACAAAAGTATCACGTTCTGCTGACTCTGCTGACTCAAAGTCTTGGAAGTCGTTATCTTGGTAATCTGATACCGGTGAGATCGTCCTACTCATAATATAACATATATTAACATATTCACATGTAATGATCACTGTCACATCATCATTCAATGCAGTAACATTATCACCCTTTCTCTTTAATCATATTGAAATAGAATGACTAATGAAATAAGTGATGTCAAACGACAAGTTGTTAATGAATTACATAAACCTGCAAGACGTAATTTTCGTAGAAGAATAACCACCATCAAAGGTTTTGCAGATCTATGGCAAATAGATTTAGCTGAACTGCAACCTTATGCAAAAAGTAATGAAGGATACCGATATATACTTGTAGTGATAGATTGTTACTCCAAATATCTGTGGACTGTAGCAGTTAAAGATAAAACAGGTAGTACAGTAACTAATGCAATGAAACATGTACTGAAAGAAGCCAAATACTCCCCCAAACACATACAAAGCGATCAAGGGAAA